GGTACTCCAAATTTCTGCCAGGTCCAAGTCCCTTAATGCCTCATATTCTAAGGTGAATAACCTGGGCTGTGAGAAGTAAGTGTGTCTTTAAAGCACATGAAGAAGTGCTGCTGTAACACCCCAAAGAATGTGCTTCTAATGTCCAAAGGAGAAAATATATATGTGGGATATGGAGCCTTTCTCTGTAAATCTAACTAAATGGTGATCACTTATTTTCATAGCAGGGAGCAGGGAAATCTTAAACTTCATGTTGTTTTACTAGGGATGATGACAAAAGGATCCAAAGAATGTAAGAGAGAAACTGTACCTGAGGAGCAAAGAGTTCTTGGTGGACTGTTTCTTTTCTCTTACTCTGCACTATACAGACAAAACGAATGAAATCCTAAAAAGAAAAGTGCCAGAAAGGGAGGTGAACCTACCTTGCCTCCCTATCCCAAGTTGCTCACTTTTATAGTAAAAACATCTAGGATGGTAAAGAATCCTTGTATATTAGACAGTGTAGAACTAAGTTCAACACAGGGCTTGTTTATCATATATGATTCATAGTTTGGGGCAGTTTGCCATATAATTTTGCATCAATGCTAAGGATAAGGAGATTTCACTCAAAACTGTCCCATGCTACACCCCAAAGAATTTGTCAAAAAGAGTAGGGCCTGTAGAACAGAACAGAGGACACTTGTCCCCAGATGTGCTTTAAAAACTGTTGAGGCACCACAGTATCCCTTCCACAAATACGCTTTCTCCTCTAATGGGACACCTGGGATTTGAAAAAAAAAGAAGGTAATACATTTTTTAAATGTATTTATAAATTGACCTCAAAATGCAAACAATTAAGGAGGTAAAGCGTTTCTTCCTTCCCATCTGCAATGGATTGCTTTTGTAGTGGGATTTGACAGGTAGCATTTCAAGAGGGCATATATCCAAAGGCTTACCCATCACTAGAGAAACTCCTCTGAAATTTACCCCAGAAAAACTGTAGTTAGTTAGGCAAATCTGATTCTTTCAGAAACTCGTGAGTGATTCCATATATACACATATGACTTCAAAATAAAAAACAAAGCTATGTCTTAGAAGGATTTCTTCCCTATCATGTGAATGGCTTATATATATATATGAAAAGCATATGTAACCATATACATCCCAAAAGTGAATTTACAAACGGGTATGTGGTCTCAGGAAATAATTTGGTTTAAGTGCCTGAATACTAATCCAAATTTCTATGGGACCTACCGTTCATTCAAAAAATATTTATTGAATATTACTTAGTATAAAGAAGGCATTGAGGACCACTTCATCCCTTCTTAATCTTTCCAAGTGGCTGAACCGAGGGTCTGAAACAGCTCAGAGGGAAAATCTCTGTGTTAAGGAAGGTTTGGCATGTTGCAGCAGTAATGGAGATGCTAAAGAAATCAAACACCCAAGTGCCCATGTCTCCAAGGGGTGAGGGACCTGCAGGCAGGTAGATGTAGGTGTTAACTCACAAGGCGGCAGCAGTGCGGGCAGTTATCACTCCAAATGTGACTTGGATGAAAAATGTATTCTAAGTTCTGAGCTATGTATTTGCAACTACGGTGTGAAATTCCAGGTGAGTAGGAGAGGGAGAAAGTTGTTCTGCTGGATTTCTGTGCCACAGCAGTTTACTGAGAAAACAAAACAGACAGGAGCATGTGGCACACAGAAATGCCCGATGTGGAAAGCACGAGAGCAGGTCCAGAGGGGCCCAAACCCTCCCATTTTAGGTAAGTTCCCTGGGAGGCCAAGCTCTTCTTCACTTGGAAAAAAACAAATAGTTGAGCCTCCCTGGTGGTGCAAGGGGTTAAGATGCAGCCTGTGAAGCTGTTTGCAGCCTCTGTAGCACGAGTTCTATCCCAGGCCAGGGGGCAACCCACATGGCGCAGCAGACCTCTCCTGTCTCCCCCACTGCTCCCCTCAGCAGTGTATTTCAGTCAGTCTGCCTGTTCTGTTCCCCACTCTGTCTGGTGAATCCTCTCACCTCCCACACTTCTGGCCTGTACCCCAGCTCTTGTGTGCATAAGTAAATAGATCTTTAAAAAAAAAAAAGAAAAAACAAATTGTTCATTCTCCCAATCTTTTCAGTAGAGGGAACTCTTGCTTTCAGAAATAGGAAAAAGGAAGGAATTCAAAGAAAGAAAATCTCAAACTCAGGCCCTAATACCACTGATGGAAATAGTGAGACCCAAAGCATGCAGGGCCAAGCTGGTCAGGGGGCCAGGACTGACAAAGGGACAGATGGATGCCCAGACAGCTTTCTCTACAGCATGCTCACCAATATTATAAATCTTTCTCTGTGAATTGGTATTGATTTTTAAATTCCTTATGGTTTAAAAAGGCCTTTGAAATTGCTCCCAAGCTTTCAGATGCCTCTAAGATATAAGGTAGCTAAAACCACAATTCACACTGTTTCATGCAGAAGCAACTAGTTAGGGACTTGGAAAATGATAAAGCCCAAAGTCTGGCTTTTGAACACAATGTTTAAAGAAAGAATAAGTACGTTTTCCACAGAGACAGTTAATACTCCCTGTAAAGTGTTTTCTAGGAATCTGGCTAACAATTAGAAGGAACACAGAGATAGATGGCATGCCAAGAAAGGTGGGTCTCAAACTGTGTTCCACAGACCCCAGCATCAGCCACCTCCAGGAACATGCAAATTCTCAGGCTTCATCCCAGATCTGCTGGTCCAGAAAATCTAGGGGTATGGTCTACTGATATCTTTGAATAACCTCTGCTCATGATTCTGAAGTTGAAGAACCACTTACTTAAACTTAGTTCAAGGCAAGAGCTTGCCTGGATAGCATGGAGAGAGTGGCACATGATAGAAAAAAAAAATGCAAGCCATAAAGACAGTAGAACAAGGATATTGGTCTGCAGCGTCAAATGACCTAGCTTGTGTATACGTGTGTGTGTGTGTGCACTGAATTTCCAAAACAGGTGTGCATCATCTTATCCTAGAAGGACATAGAGACTACGTATAGATAACCAGACATGAATTAGTCTTCTTTATTAAGGATCTGATTAGATGAAGAACTTTTCCTTTGTAATGTAATCTTACATGAATCTTTATAAGGAAGCTATTATTACTCCATTCATTGAATAAGAAATTGAAATTCACAGGGATAAAGTCATCTGCCCAAGGTCTTCAGGCAAATAAGAACAAAGATAAAATTTGAACCTCCATCTGTCTAATTCCAAAGTCTATGTTGCTTTTACTTCACATGCCCAGATGTAGCCAGTTCACTCATTTGGATCTCTTAAGGATCATGATTTTTTCATAATGGTTACATAAAATAAGCACCAAAATTTTGTGAGGCAAAAAGAATGACAATAAAACAATCTTAAGGGAAAAAAAGATAAAGGACAGGCAGCGGCCACAATGTGAAATGCCCCGGAAAACAATAGATTTCCAAGTTCAGGTAAAGCCTTTCAGTGTCTTCTGGGATAATCTAGGGGACAGCCCACTTTGACAATGCAACTTTAGAGTATGTTGGGGGTTATAACATCTTGTCAGGAGTGCAACATGTCAGGGTATCAGCACATCAGGGCATCAGTATATTGGGGTGTACAGAGCTGCCAGCTGTGCTTACTCTAGAAGGAGCCAAGACACATTTTGATCATATATTTTGATCTCACTTTTTTCCCTCATGCATGATGATGGGTGACAGTGTAGCAAATGAACATGAATCCTCATTCAGAGGATTGAGAGCTGGAGAGAGTACGTACCACAGAATAGACAAAGGGGGCTGGGTGCAGGGTGAATCTGGTCACGGGACAGAGAAGGTGAATTCTGCCCACTGCACAATTTCCTAAGGTGCAGAGACCACAGCCCAGATTCTGAATACCTACTGACACAACTGTGAACTGTTACTGCAGAGGAGACTGGGCAGAAGAGTGTGAATGACTCAACACCTAGCCTTCACTCCTGCTGGAAAAAGCAATCTACAGTCTTATCTAGTCCCATTGATCAGTGAGCCAGCAACTATAAACTAAACAGTCCAAGTTAAAGGAGGGCTCTTGACTTGCACAACATGCTTCTCATGCTAAGACTTAGGCTTTTATCTTTTTCTTATTTTTAAATTAAAGAATAGGTTTAAATGGTCTCTTTTTCACAGCTTTCAGTATGTCCTTCTAGACTCAGATAATTGCGCAACTACCCTGCTTTTGGAAATGCCAATGAACAGAAGTCCAAAAAAAGAAATTGATCGCTCTTGATAAAGCTTGTCCTTGAACATCAGTGTCCCTGGGTACATTCTCAGACAATCCCTCTCATTATCATTTAGTCTGAGTGATAATCAGGAGCACACTGTATTGGAGACAACTGATAGTTCCAGGATTGAAGCCCATCAATACAAAACTCTATAGAATATAGGTGTTCTTGGAGATAGAGACCAATCTGTCATTGACTTCATAAAACCTACAGCAAAACTGATCAAATTAATGAATCTGATTGCTCCTGGGAAATTATATTAGTCTATCAAAGGGACTAGTTGAAAGATCTGCTTTCAAAACATTGGCGGGACCACCACTGTGGTCTTGCAGAGATGCCTTGAATCAGCCTCGTTAATGATGAGAGAACTAAAAAGTCACCTGGCTGCTAAAATCAACCCACTTTGTCTAATAACTGCTTACTTCACATATTTTTTATTCATTTTGCAAATCTGTGGCTGCCTGAAAGCCTGAATTAAATAAAACCCATCACTACTAGGAGAGTAGTGATTCACAAATACTAGTACCACCAGAATCATCTGTAGATTTGTTAAAACACAGATTGCTAGCCTCAGACTTTTTGATTTATTAGTTCTGAAGCAACTGAGAATTATTTGCATGTCCAAGAAGTTTCCAGATGATACCAATCATGCCAGTCCATGGCCAAACTTTGAGAACGTTTGTGGTAGAACATTAGCAACACCCTGTTAGTTTTTAAGCCCCACGGCCTTCTCAGACCCTCTTATCTCCCCCACCTTTCTTTTCTACTATAGGGAGAGATGTTGATGCCAGTCCGCTTCCTCCTGCTTCTGCTGTTGCTCCTGGGGGCCCCCAGGACAGGCCACTCCCATAAGTTCTACAAAGCTGAGTCTATCTTCAGCTGCATCAATACAGCCCTGTCTCAGGCCAAGAAGAGCCAGCTGGAGGATGCACCACTGCTGAGTAAGAGGAGTTTCCTCTACCTGCCCAGCCAAGACCCATCTTTGGGAGAGGAGGAAGAGAAGGAAGAGGAGACAGACAAGGAGAAAAGGACCTTCTCTGGCTCTGGGGGTAGTAGTGTAGCTGCAGGCAGCCGGTACAAACACCTGTCCCAAGTGCAGGCCAGGGGCAGGCTGTACAAGGACAAGGCCAAGAGTGACAGGCACACCAAGTTCACTCTGTCCCTCGATGTCCCCACCAACATCATGAATATTCTCTTCAACATCGCCAAAGCCAAGAACTTGCGGGCCAAGGCAGCTGCCAATGCCCACTTGATGGCACAGATTGGACGGAAGAAATAGAAGCATGGGCTGGGCAGGAGGCAGCATGTCAAGAATGGAGGTCAGGGGTGGAGGGTGAGGGGAGACTCGGGGTTTTCCCGTCCAGCTGGTTTGTATTTTGAAGGTTACAGTCTGCTTCTTTGCTAAATGCCACTGATCCCTTCTCACCTCCAGCCCAACTTCTCTCCTCAGTATGTATACACAGAATGCAGTATTGTTCAGCCTTCATAGAAACGAGGCCCTTAGTGTCTCTCCCTATATTCTGTGTCTTCTTTCTCCTTCCCCATCACCAGAGTCAAGATCACGCATTCCTGCTCCCCATGCTTTTCCCTGATGACCCCATACCTAAGAGGTAGGAGGGGTCTCTCTTCCCCATACAACAACCCCAACCTAGGCAGAGAGATGAGGTAACACATTGTGCAAATTCCTGCCAGGAGACACCTCCATGCCCTATTGCCCCTATTAAACCAGTGGCTTCTTGAACCCCTGGCTTGTTTCCATTCCTCTTCCTTCAGCCAACTACTTCTACACCTCTGAATTCTGAAAAGGCAGGCAGGTGGGGGTGGGGGTTGCTGCTAAATCAATTCCCTCTCTCTCCCAGAACAGGGATGGTTCTGGGAGGTATTAGAAGGGATAAGAAAGATCTTGAGAAAAGCCAAGCTGGCAGTCCAGCACCAGTTGCATGGCTTTGTTCCACCCACAGGCACTACCCAGGATCTACTACAGAACTGGACACCTGAACTGTGTGGGAAAGGGAGGGAGCTTTCAGTTAACCCCTTGGAGATTCTGAACTCCTCAAAGAGCAAATACCAGCAGCAAATACATAAATGATGGACTGCAAATTGATAGCAATTCATGTAAATGTATATACATATATACATATAGAGAGAGATTCAGAGATTAGAAGGTTTAATGTGAGTAGAAATTCAATAAAAATGGACATCAGTAAGAACCCTGATGCCTTCTGTTAGCAAGTCCTAAGGTCCAGATTTCCAGAAGAGGGACCATGGTTCCACCCACTTATGATGATAAGTCATAAACAAACAAAATTAGTCATAAATAAACAAAATAAGTCATAAATAAACAAAACACACACATACATACCATCAACTAATACCAGCACTCCGCCAAAAACAAAGTCAAAAGAAAAATTTGGAAAAGTGTTTGTCATTCATATAAATGATAGTTTGTTGATCAAATGTGTAACAAGCTACTAAATATTGAAAAAAAAACCTAAAAGAAAAATAAGCAAGAACATGAGTGTACATTTTCTCTCTCTCTCACACACACACACATTAACCTTAAATGTATAAAAGAATGCCAAATTTCACCCTTAAGATAACAAATTAAAACTGTATTTTTGTATAATTTCTAACATATTATGCTAGCAAAATTCATAAATTTGGCCCATACTCCACCCATGGGGTGAAAGGCTTTCCACCTCCATTGCCGGCTAGTGGGAGTGTAAATTCTATAGAGACCTTTTGGAAATACTCATCAAAATTACAAATTCACTATATCTTTAACTCAGCAATCCTTTTCTGGCAGTCATTATTAGAAAAAATGAAGCTTTACATTTAGAAAAATGTTAAAAATGAAATGAAAATCGCCCCATCTCTTAACAGGCCCACATGTAGAGAAAGAATCTTTGTCTGAGACTCAGACCCCTGCATGTGAATCTAGGTCTTCTACACACAATGCATTTCTAAGGAGATCCTCTAACTTCCCTGGAAGCTCAGGTCAGGAACCCAGCTTTATGAACAGTATCATATTTAGTTTTCATGAGTATTTTAAGGGAGCCATGATTTTTTCCACTTTGAAGACAGGGAGATTTAGATCTAGAATTGAAAGAAAATGTCTAAGTTCTCCGGGCTATTAGGTGACAGAGTCAAATCATTATGATCACAAAACCTCAATTCATCCCTCCATGCAGAACTGCCCCATTCATATGCACAAAGCATAAAAATACCAGCCATATATCACTGTCTCTCAGGTTCTGCCTGAGCCCCACTAAGCCCCGGATGCGGAAGCTGCTTCAAGAGCAGCAATAGAAACTCAGATTTGCAAAGATTATGTCTCCAGCAGTGAGTCTGGTTACTGAGAATGCTTTCAAAGCCTAACAGATGATTTAAATGTGAGTGTAAGTATATAATTAAGGTAACTAGGGTGGGCTTGTCAAACTACCACCGACAGGAAAGGCCAGTGCTCTGCTGTGCGATATCAAGGTCCTAGATTCACACACTGATCTGAACCTCCTCTAAGGAGACAAGAAATCCTGAAAACGGGCCTCACTTGTGGCCCAGGCGGTTGAGTGCAGCGCTGTGAAGCTGTCCACAGCCTCTGCAGTGCCGGTTCCATCCCTGCTGGTCTCGGAGCAACCCACATGGCGAGTAGACCTCTCCTGTCTCACCTGCTGCTACCCTCAGCAGTGTATTTCAGTCAGTCTGCCTGTTCTGTTTCTCGCTCTGTCTCTGGTGAATCCCTCTCACCCTCCTGTGCATCTGGCCTGTACCCTGGCTCTTGTATAAATAAAATAAAATCTTTAAAAAAAAAAAAAGAATTCCTGAAAACAATACCGCCAGTAAACAAAGGTATCTACTTCAGGACAGTAGAATAGAATAATAGAATAGGAACTCTAACAAATAATGAGGGCAAGCTGAGTGATTTTTCAATCTGATATTTATATAATTCCAAGAAATGGAGGGCAAGTTCGAAAGTATGTAGTATTAAACTAGAAAGACATCTCTATATATTAGGAGTCAAAAGAAATGCAAAATCTAATCAAATGGTGTAGCTGACTACCTTCGAAAGAATTACAGATGTAATCTGAGTTGGAAATTCGGTAAACATGACTCAAATCTAAGTATTTTATGATCACTGCTTTCTTTCATTAATGAAGTTCCTATTATGGACTATTGCATACTCCACCACTGTCACAAAGACCAGGTCACAGCCTGGTCAATGTCACCTAGAAGCTTCAGCACGCTGAGAGGACAAAGACAGACAAAACAAATAACTGTGGGAAGGTAACACCAATCTCGTAGGATGTAACCCGGCTTCCTTAAAGCATATTTAGTCTCGGTCCAGAATTACCCCTTCTTTCTCTTGAAGCCATCATCCACCAACTGAACCTCATGTCTTAGATTGACTCACGGTCACTGTCCCACCACCATTGTTGTGATTTACCAACACCTAGTCCACCCACCTCCTTTCTTGATCATTTTTTCTTGTCTCTCTAACACTGCCCCTCCATAACACTTGGTTTCAACATACTCATAGACCACCTATTCAGCACATCCTGGAACCCAGTTCCTTAAGCTCCTCTGCTTCGTGATCTGTTCCCCTCCTCTTTCAGCCACGCTCCCAGTACCATACTCTAGACTAGGTCGTTACAAATTATAAACTTTCTAACCACCCCTCCTATCCTTCAAAGATGGAACACCAACAACCTTTCAGCCCCACTGAGACCAATAATCCATTGATCCTTCTTCCTTTGTATACTCCCTAACCCCTGCTTATAACTTCCCTTCACTCTTATTCTAATGGTCAATCTTTTTAAGTGTTCCCTGTATACATCTGTAATTTCCTTGTTCCACTTTTGCTTTGTCTGAAATTAAGCCTTGATAAATTCAAACACTCTCTGTTCTTCCCCTGTACCCTGAAGCTTACCACAACTTAAAACACACATATACACACACACAAACATACACACATACACACAGTTTGATATTGATCTCAATCTAAAATCCTAAAGACTCCTTCCTTACATTTTTTTTTTATACGGTTGGGCAATGTATCACATTTCTGTATACCATCCCTCTCTTGCTGTCCTAGATTTTCATCTCTCCTCAAACTTTCAACATATCAATGCATTCCCCTGTCCAATCTCAGCTGGTATCTTTGCTTTCTATTTCACTAAGAAAAACAAAAGCAAAACCACCTATCTCCCTACTCTGCCCTCTGTTCTGAGTTAGACGAACTATTCAAGTGCCTAGTGAAGGGCAAACTTTGTGTCATGCACTAAGTTCTCATCCCCATTTGCTTACTTGAGACATTGATCCAACAACTGTCTTTCTTCTGCCGTATTATCACTGTCAACCCTCCACCGAATCATTCACATCAGTGTACAAGCCCATTAGAAACCAGACTTCTGTATATTTAAAAAAAAACACTGCTGACCCACCATGCCTTCCAGACAGTAGCCCGTTTCTCTGCCCCCTTTCATGGCAAAATTCTTTAAACTGTTTCTCTGCACTTCCTCTTCAAAGCATTAAACCCACTTTAGTCAGGTTTCCATTCTTCTCATTCCACTGAACTGCCCTTCAAGGTCAGCTAAGATCTCCATGTTGCTAAATTCAGTGTTCCAGTCATAGTCCCCATCCCTCATGACCAGCAAGCATCATCTGAAATAGTGGCCATGATAAACTTTTTTCCAGCTACACTTTCAAGACAACATACTGCTCCCCTTCTTCCTCAATGACCACTCTTCCTAAATCTCCCTTGCTTGTTCCTTTTGCCAGGTAGACTTCCTCCAGATATCTGCATTCTCCTTTGTGACTTCCTTCAAGTCCTTGTCAAATACTTCTTTCTCATCAAAGTCCCCATCGGCCACCTGTTAACATGCACTGTGATGTAATTATTATGTTTCTTGCCTTTGTCCCTACCTGCTTTATGTTATGAATTTAAAGAGGGCAAGAATTATTGTGCTTGGTTAGGGGGTCAGAATAGTGAGTAGAACAAGATGATGCTCAGTCACAGGTGCTGAAAGAGCAAATTAAGTAGGATGTTTTAAAGTTCTGTGATAAAGAATCTGTGCATACTCAGCATTTAAAGTGTAGTATTTGGAATATTTAACAGTATTTATCCTAACAGAATCATATTCAGCCTTATAATTCTAATTTGAAAATACATAAATTGAGTAAATAATTTACACATGGGATCTTAAGTAAAACTAATGATAGATGGTTTGGATACACCATGTTTATACTTTATTAGATTTTAATAGAACCACTGAGGTACTTGAGAAAATTTGTTGAAATCTTTAAAGGAAAATGTATTAAATTTATAAAAGCAATTTAAAATAGTTAAGAAGGTTTAAGATTGCCAAGGGGACCAAATATTCATATATACTATCTTAAGGATTAATTATTTAAATTTGCTAGAGTTAGAAATAATAAAATTCACATGTTGAACTTAAAAGTTCAATAAACAATCAGGCCTTGACTTAATTTTAGTAGGTTATTAATTTTTAAAAAGAAAAACCTTATCTAAGTGGTCTGTTCTGGGGGTGTGTGTATGATGATGCAAAAGTGCCACACACGCCCCAACAACTGAACAGTTACTGAAGCATTTCACTGGTGACCTCCAGTGTCTGAAGAGAGAAACAACACTTGTAAAGACAAAATTTAAATGGTCAGTAAACGCCCAATAAAATGGATAAGGACAAAATTTTTGTTAATGAGCATATAACTACTTTGTTTTCAAGATAGTAAGAGATCTTACATATTTCAAATATCCATAAGTCCTGGGGTGGGAGACTTAGATATATAAGTAGGGAAGAAAAAAATCAATGGAGAAATAGAATATAGATAGAATATTCTAGAAAGATTAAAGGAGCAAGGTTTTCTAGAAGAATAAAGGGAGAAGGTATAAAAATAATAGATGGTCTTGGAAATGAGAGTATTTTTCCTTAGTAAAGGGGATATATGAAGACAGAATAATTTAAAAAGGGAGATTGACGGACATAAAAGAAATTAGGGTCAGGTGTATGTAATTTCAATAAAATAATAGGCAACAATGTCATCTCCTTGTGCTTTTCAATTAAGTAAATGTTTGGATACCTATTCTATGTCTGCCACAGTTGCCTCAAGATCACATTTAAATTATGTTTACAGTCATATTTATTTAAATGATTATCTCATGTGACCTCACTCTTTAAGGAAAATATCATTTCCTCTCAACCCCAGCATTAAATCTGAAATCAAGAACATTAAGGGAGTTGGCCAAAGTCAACAGATAGTTTTGAAGATGAAACTTGGACTAAGACCTAATGTCACTTCCTCTCCTTAATTACTGTTACAAAACATAGCCTCTGTCATAGCTTACTTTCTATTTTTTGATAAGTTTCAAATTCCCTTGCTCCTTCATTTATAATGCAGAAGTTCAGAAGTACAAAATAAGAAATGATAGTAATAAGAGACAGTTAAAATAAATCTTTTTTAAATTTAAATTTTATTTTTATATTCCCCATACAATTACAACCCCCTTATTTTGACCCCAATCCCTCCTTTCCCTGCCCCCCACCCCCATAGAGTGTCTCTGGTTCATAGTTGTTTGTTTGATTTTGATATTTTCTTTCTTATAGTTATTCTTTTTCCTGGTCCCTTATTTAAGTTTTCTAGATTCCTGCTATGAGTGAGACCATCTGATATAAAATAAATATCTTAATATCTTTCCCAGATCCCTCAGAAGTAGCAACATAACTTCAAAATCCATCACTCACTATCCATTATATTCATGACACTGCGTCAGATGCTAGAAGCACAAAGATTAAAAAAAAGTCTGTTTTCTTAGAAGTCACAGTTTAAAAGAAAAATAAGAAAAGAACAAAACTAACACACCAGCTCTAACCATGTTGAGACCAAGAAGAGAATAACTGGAGGAATAAAACTGAAGTTAAACATTATAGGAAGAGTTACCTGAAAATGAGCTACGTGATCAAGGGTAACACCATAGCCCAAGAGAGCAGTAACTAGTTCATCTTAATTCAATCATTAATTAGACTAAACATTTTTTTTTTAAATCTGACTAGTGGTTATAAAGCATTTACAGCATTTTAGCCCATTGTAAAATTATAACTTGTCTGCAGATGGGACAGTTTAGTACCAAAAATTAATTCCATTAAGTATACAGGTAACCCCAAATTGTTCCGCTGTTTTTTTGTATAAAAAGCAAACCGAGGGCCTCCCTGGTGGCACAAGGGGTTAGGCACTGCACTATGAAGCAGTCCACAGCCTCTGCAGCATGAGTTCGATCCCTGGGTGGCCAGGGAGAAACCCACATGGTGAGGCAGACCTCTCCTGACTCACCTGCTGCTCCCCTCAGCAGTGTATTTCAGCCAGTCTGCCTGTTCTGTTCCCCACTCTGTCTCTGGTGGATCCTCTCACCCCCTCCCACCACCCACATCTCTAGCCTCAGCTCTTGTATGCATAAATAATAAATATTAAAAAAAAAAAAAAGCAAACCAAGACATTAAGGTCCACATTTGAAAGAAAGGGGGAAAAAAATCACACTGAATACTCATTTAATTACTGTACAAAATATATCCCCAGGGGGAAGAGCACTAATAATTAGTACGTATGTTTTCCTCCTTAAATATAGGAAAGAGAAAGTATAAATTTTACGGGTTCATAGTCTCTTGGTTGAAAAAACACAAGAATAAAGCCAGGCATCTTTCCTGGTAAAACTAAACAAAGCAAAAGATTCACACTGAGACACAGGGCAAGCTAGGAATTATGCAGTTTTAGGGACAGTGCAGGAGGGGACCTTTGAAGAATTTAGGGAGGCTTCAGAAATAAGGACAACCCAGGAAAAGTAACCAATTCCACTAGGAAAAACAAACATCCCAGAACCAAGGACAACATTGTTAATGCCAGTCCTGGTTTCCTTCAGGTGGTAAAGGGAGGTAGAGACTAAAGAAATGGAGAGTGGTTTAATTTATGGACAACTTAGAAGGGCAGCTGTTTAACTTCAATGTAGAAACTCACCCAGAGGACTAGGCCATAAAAATAAAGCTATAAGCATAACAAACGGGAAAAGACAAACCTGTTAAATAAGAAATGTGAAGATCCCCCACTCAGTAACAAATTAAGTGAGACGGCCGAGAACTAACCAATCACAAAGAGACTGGTGGAGCTTTAGAATAATCAGGGAAAGAAGGTCTATATTCCCTGAGACACGACTCCACTTTGGCTTCCTTGCCCCTCCCAGGCCTGGTTCCCTGGCCTGGGAGTCCCACTTTATTTCTGCTCTTTTTCTCCTCAATAAACTTTTTCTTTCTCTAAACAAACCTGCCTCTTCTCACTTGCTTGCCTGTGCGTCTGCGAAGTTCCTGCTGCGGCTTCGTGAGACACCAACCCGTGGGGGTCTAGTGACTGGGACTCAGAGCTGCCCTGCAGCCTGGGATCAGTTCCTGGTTGGGAGACTAGGCCTGACAATTGCGATATCAACACGATCCAGTAGCTCACAGTCACTTCCAAACCTTAGAAGATTCCCAGGTTGCAGTGCTGACTTACACGAAGAGACTGTCCCTTGTGATTATCAACCCATTTGGTTTAGAGTGGAATCTATGGCCTTATTTGATTTGCTTTCCTTTATCTTCTAATTGTTACAGGACAAGGAGAAGGGCACCCCAAACCCCACAAACCTGCCTGCTCTAAATAGGTTCTGCCATCCGCCACAGCAACACAAAACATATGAGACTTTAACAAAAAAGAACTTTAATACAATTAGTAAACAATACAAGAAAGGCAAAGAATATAATTTCTAAATCAAGCACCCAAAGTTACCCATTCCCTCTTGGGTAAAAGTCCACCCAAGCAGGATTGGCCCAGAGCAAGGCTCCAAAGCCTGCCACAAGTCTAAAGCATCTTCCAGTGGGGACCCACAGAAAAGGATCAGAAACAACCAGACAAGTTTATAAGGTAAAGGGCAAAATCAAAATCAAGACAAAAACTGCCACTGTCACCTCCCCACGGGTCTCACCCACCTCTGTTTCACCCAGTCCACGACCAAAAGGCAAGCGCAGTTTCTTCACACGTCTCTCGGTCCATGTGCCTCCTCCAGGTCTCCTTCTGGCTCTCCATCCTGCTTCCTTCCTTCCTCAGTCTCCTCTCCAGCTTCTTCTCCTCCTTCTGCTCAGCTCCACCCTCCTTTTGAGTGGGGCAGGGAACCTGGAACCTCCCCCTTTCTGGGGACCACTCTGTTACATAATCAAGAAAACTCTACCCACTAAATGTATAAGGTCCTGAAAAGAAAGTATGACACTTTAACATCCATTTTCACCACTCATATTTAATCAGAAACTTCTCCCACTTCCTCATAATCCTTCTCCAGAACTGCCAAATCTTCCCTGGCCTCTGAGAACTCCCCATCTTCCATGCCTTCTCTAAGATACCAATGTAGAAATGCTCTCTTAGCATACATGAGGTCAAACTTGTGGTTCAGACAGGCCCAGGCTTCCACAATTGCTGTGGTGTTGCTCAGCATACAGACTGCCCGCTGGACCTTGGCCATCTCCCCTCCAGGCACTACTGTGGGCGCTTGCCTGCTGATGCCCACCTTGAAACCAGTTGGACACCAGTCTACAAACTGAACAGAGTTCTTTGACTTCATGGTTGCAATTGCTGCATTCACATCTTTAGGAACTACATCTCCTCTGTACAGCAGGCAGCAGGCCATGTACTTCCCGAGTCGAGGATTGCACTTGACCAGCTGGTTGGTGGATTCAAAGCAAGCAGCAGTGATGTCTGACACAGAGAAATCCTCATAGTAGGCCTTCTCAGAAGAGATGATGGGGGCAAAGGCTGTCATGGGGAAATGTATTCTCGGATAAGGTACTAGGTTGGTCTGGAATTCAATGAGATCCACATTTAAGGGTCCTTCAAACCTGAGGGAAGCAGTAATGGAAGATATCACCTGACCTATCAGCCTGTTAATGCTGCTGTAAGAGGGACGTTCAACATCAAGTTTATGATGGCATATGTCATAGATGGCCTCGTTGTCCACCATGAAGACACAGTCTGAGTTCTCTATGGTGGAATGGGTGGTGAGGATGGAGTTGTAAGGTTCTACTACAGCAGTGGCAATTCTGGGAGCCGGATAGACAGAGAACTCCAATTTAGTCTTCCTGCTATATTCTACTGAGAGCCGTTCCATTAGGAGAGATGTAAATCCTGATCCAGTACCTCCTCCAAAGCTTCGGAAAATCAAGAATCCTTGAAGCCCATGGCACTGTTCTGCCTGGGGAAAGTAAGTGAGACATGAGAACTCAGCCATAAGTCCAGAAACAGAGATCATGGTGGGATACAATTCCCAAAAACAAACAAAGCTCTCAGAAGTGACTGGCTTGCCATTACTGAGTCTACAACAAACTTCTTACTTTGAATCATACTGGTTACTTCTGGAATGGGGGAAGTGCTTTAGAGTTTTACTATAAGCAAAGCATAAATATTCAACTATCTTTCCTGCCCTCCATGAATTTATCTGTATGTGATCTAAGGCAAGTTCATTATCGATCACAAAGAAAAAAAGGAAAAAGACTAGCAAAATATCAAAGCAAAATACCCCCAACCAGTAGATAAAGTGCATTATCCCCCTTACCTCCATCACTGCGCTGGTGTAAAAGGCATTCATTATCCAGTGACTATGCCTAACACCAGAACATTTACTAGACAAAGGTTCTCTAGAGGCAGCTACTTGCAGACTTAACTCTCAGTAAACAGAGTAATCTCCAGGCAGGGCTTAACCCCTGTTAATTTACAGAGAGTGGTTACCATGGAAAATGACCAGGTTTGGAGTGTTTTGGAAGTCTCTGATAAGGAGACAAACCTTTGCCTAAGCAGAAGGATGGGGCTATTCTTTAAAAAGAAGGACATCATATGCAAGAATGTGGATAAATCTTGAGGGCATTACGCTAAGTGAGATAATTCAGACACAGAAAGACAAATACTCCTTGACCTTACTTATTTGTAGAATCAGAAAAGGGGAACTCTTAGAAACAGAATACTATTGATAGTTGCCAGGACCTGGGGGTGGGAAGGGTGAGGGAAATATGTTAAAGGATTAAAATTTCCAGTTATAAGATGAAAAACTTCCAGGGATCTAATGATTGTGATAGTTAATACTGTATCATATACGGGCCTCCCTGGTGGCGCAAGGATTAAGAAGCAACCTATGAATCTGTCCACAGCCACTGCAGCACGAGTTCAATTCCTGGCCAGGGTGCTACCCACACGGCGCAGCAGACCTCTCCTGCCTTGCCTGCTGCTCCCCTCAGCACTGTACTTTGGTCAATCTGCCTGTTCTGTTCCCCACTCTGTCTCTGGTGAACCCTCTCACCCCCCACACCTCTGGCCAGTACCCCAGCTCTCGTATGCATAAATAAATAAATCTTAAAAAAATACTGTATCATATACTTAATATTTTCTAAAGAGCAGACCTTAAGTGTTCTCATCACCAAAAAAAATAAAATGAGATCATTTTGTGAGGTGATGGATGTGCTAACTAAACTTATAGAGGTAAACATTTCATAACGCATATGGACATTAAATCATCAAGTTGCATGCCTTAAATTTATACTATGTTTATGCCAATTAATATTGCAGTAAAGCTGAGAAAAATATTTTTTTTTAATTTCCTCACATAAATTTTTTAAGGAGTAGATAGGGGTTACACAGTTGCAGCATCTTTCAGCCTTCCTACAAAACCCCGTGTAACTGAAGCCAACGGCAGGACACATCTTAGCTCTAAGAAAGGAGGCGGGTGATGATGGTAGTGGGCAGTGCTGATGACAATTGGGAGGTGTCTGCAGGAATTATGGAGAAGGGGGTCACTTGCCAGCTTCCGGATCCTCTCTAAAACAGGGTCGATGATCTCTGAGCCCACAGAGTAATGACCTCGGGCATAGTTGTTGGCAGCGTCTTCCTTTCCGCTCACAAGCTGCTCAGGGTGGAAGAGTTCTCGATACTTGCCGGTTCGAATTCCATCTGCAGAAGGAAAGCAGGTCAGGGCATCTATCCCACTCAGTGGCTACACTCTGTACATCTTCACACAGCCATGGACTCTTACCCCAATTCTTTTCCCTAATATTGTGGTAAAGTAATAAATCTTAACTATCTTCCTAAGTGCAGGAAAAGGTACAATTATTTACATAAAGACTGAAAGCATAGTTTCTGTCCTACACCCTTTGTTAATTTCTTAGGGTTACCAATACAAATCAAATAAATTAGAACCTGGTGAATTAAAACATGAGAAATTTATTTTCTAACAGTTTGGGAGACCAGAAGCCCAAAATCAGGGTGTTGGCAGGCTTGGGTTCTACTGGAGCTTTTGAGGGGGAGATTTTTCTGGGCCTCTCTCCTAGCTTCTTGTGACTACTGATAATTCTTGGAGTTGCCTGGCTAATAGCTGGATCACCCCAATCTCTGGTTCCATCATGCATTGTCCTTTGTCTCTATGTGTTTTCTCTTCTTACGAGAACTTAGATCATTGGATTTAGACCTACCCTAACCTAGTAAGACCCACTCTTATATAAATACATTCGCAAAGACATATTTCCAGACAAAGTCATATTCTGGAGTTCCAGGCTGACGTAGACTTTTTGGGAGACACCATTCAACATGGTACATGGCATATGGCACTTGGAAAATTTTAGACAAGTATTTCTACCCTCAAATAGCAGCTATGTGCTAGGAAAGCATACCTTAGCAATATATATTACTATTTTTGTGCTTTAAAAAAGACTTAACAAAGGTGAGGCAAACTCAAATGCCCACATGACTCAGATGCAGTTTTCTGTGTAGACAAGAGCAACCTTTGCTGGGGTTCATTGCCTTTCAAAACCCTGAGAAGCATGAGAAATATCAAAACATAGCCTGTCCCACAACTCCACCCAAAGAGCATGATTCCTGAAGAGTTACACAGTGACATTTGCTGTAAATAGGCCTGGGAAATGTTGCCATGGTTACAGTGGGCACCGCATCCCAGCCCATAGTAGTTAATAGCATGCATTCAAGAACCACTTTCCTGGTTTATAACTTGCCTTCCTCACTTAGTTCTAGAGTAGTGACTTAGACTATCTAAGTCTCAATTGTTTTACCTCACAAATAAGGACAATAATAAGACTGACTCCACTGAGTTACCATGAGGATTAAATGACAACTTAATGCCCTATGACAACTTCCCCCAATAAGACCTATGACTCCTCTGAACTCTTTTCCCAGTCTTATCTCCATTGCTCTACTGCACACACACCTAAGTTTTAGCCTCTGGCTCCTGTTAAATTTGTATGTTCTACCAAACCTCTGTGAACTTGCAAGTGCTGGCCATTTGTGGGAAGATATTTGATGGTTCCAGTTGGTCATCCCTTCCTTGGTGATACCTCTGCACCTTGCAGAAATTTCTATTTATTATTAGGTTGACTCATATGAAATTGACATTTTTAAGTTTAAGAAAGGTCATTCATTGGTAATTTTATGTGGTTCAATGTAATACATTTATCAGTGTTGCTATAACTGTTTACATTTTCTTCTCCACTATGTTTTGCTGCTTCCCTGGTAAAAGAGAATGGCTTTTATAAGACAGCAAACCCAGTGGCTCAAACCCAGTTCTGTCCTCAATAATTCAACTATCTTAGGTAAGTTTCATAACTCCCTGAGACTCAGTATCTTCATCTATAAGCAGAGAATGACAATAATATTTCCTGATAGAGTTGCTGAAAGGACTAAAGCAAAGTATCTATGTAGTTCCTCAAGTAATAAATAATAGCAGCTTTGAACTGACTAATTATTCACAAAATTCATCTGTTGAGGCTCCAGTTCCCAATATAATGGTATTTGGAGGTGGGAGATTTGGAAGGTAATTAGTTCAAGAGGGTAGAGCTTTCATGAATGGAATTAGTCCACTAGAGAGAGAATCTCGCTACCACATGAGGGCACAGCCAGAAGATGGCTATCAGCAAATCAGGCAGAGAGTACTCACTATGTTGCCACTCTGATTTTGGACTTCCAACCTCCTGAAATGTAAGAAATAAATTTCTATCGTTTAGCCAACAGTTTACAGTATTTTGACTAAAGAGCCCAAACTAAGAGAGTAGAAGGGCAGGCATCAGCATATATTTAACTTTATATTTCCACTCCCTAACCGAAATGTTGACTGAATTATGTTCAATTCTCCCCTTACATCCTTGACTCTCTCAGCCTTTCCTTTTCCCCACCCCTCCTCCCTCCACAGCATTTTCATTTGTCTCTGCAGGCAGCCTGGCTAATGATCAGAGTGATGGACTCCTTGCCAGCTCAGAGTCCATCCTTACCCTGCCCCCTCCTTGCGTGCAACATGAATGACCTCAACATCCAGTACAGTAGATCAAGACAAGCAGGAACTTTGCTCTCTGGTTCCCTTCAAACCCATGCTCAGCAGCCTCTTCTTTCTTCACTTTGACCCTCAAGTCTATTTTTCAAAATGAGTACTCTAAACTTCTCCTTTCTTCTTGTTCTTACAAACCACCCTCATTACCCCATTTCCTGAATAAACCCTTCTTGTTGCCACTTCTTCTGTCCTCTCCTTCAAAGAAGAAAGAGGGAGAAGGAGAAGCACAAACTGCAGTCTTTCCTGCCCATCTGTAACATAACCGTTCCTCCACTTCTCTCCTTGCTCTGTCTAAAAATATTCTCAGTGGAATTCTTGAAAAAACACAACCAAAAATGCATTTTCTTCATTCTAAAACCACTAAGACTGATTTGGTCTGGATCATCACCCACTATCTTTGAATATCACATCTGTTGATAACTCTGTAACTCTGACTTTTCACTGAACAACTATATTTCCATTTTTTCAACTAGAATCACTCTACTGACACTTTTAAATGTGTCATGCCCACAACTGAACTAAATTTATTTCCACAAAAGTAGGTCTCACTCTGGAATTCCTATTTTGCTAATCAATCTCATTATTGAATCAGTAACATCTGGTGGCACCTCCTATTAATCTCTAGAATATTCATTGCTCTTATATCAGGTCAGAATACAATGCAATTATCTCTCAGCCTCCACACTAATCTCACCTGTTCTTAAAGTCATCAATACCTCCTTACTTTTAATTCTTTTACAACATCTAGCAAAGAAATATTGAATCTGAAAAAAAAAAGAAATATTGAATCTGTATATTCAATATTGACGTATCCTAGCCTTGACAATTCTCAATGTCCCCCTTTTAATAAAAGCTGCTATCTTTTTTTTTTTTTTCATTTTGACATCACTCTACTTTCTCCATCAGTTGGCTACTTGATTTCCCTTCTTTCTGATAAAGAAAAAAATTTCAAACCAGTCTGTACAGACTGGATTTTCCAAAGATGGCTACCACAATATTTCCCTCCCACATGTGCTTTTAGACTCTCCTTATTTCTGCCTCAAAAAGGTGGAATCTATATCTTCTCCGTGATTGGATCTTTGCAATTGTCCCAACCCACTAATAACAGTTGAACTAATGTTATGTGATTTCTTCTCAGGGAAGGTTATAAAAATGCCATGGACTTGTGCTTTGTTATCTGGGATTTTTGCTCTTGGAACCCAGCTGCCATGTTATAAGGCAATCTAACCAGCCCACAGAAAGGCACATGTCACCCACACTTCAGCCCAGGCTCCCAGCCAACAACCACACCCACTTGCTAGCTAAGCAAGTAAGCTTTTCACTTTCAAAGTGGAGCCCCCAGGTTCTATTTGGGCTTCTAGCTGATACCATGTGACACAGAGTGAGCTGTCCCCTCTGAGCCCTGCTCACATTATAGATTCATGGACAAAATAATGATCATTACTCTTTTTAGACCGTAACTTTAGATGGTAATTTATTACATAGCAATAAATAACTGATATATGGTATTAAACCCAAACCCATCCTGCTCTCTACTTTTTTTCTCAAATCAGTATCACCCCTTCTCTCTATATCATTTCTCTAGCTTCATTTCCAGTATTTTTACATTAGATACTATAAAATCAGTCAGTTATAATCATAAAATGATACTGATTTTCCACACAATGAGTAGATTTGGTTCCTTGCTTCTTTGGAGTCATTTTCAAATATTCTACTCTTAAGCAGGTAGCTAATGCCAATTTTTGAGATTCTTTGTCATAAGCTTCTAGCAATTGGCTTTCAAAGCCAAGAAAAGATACAATGTCTATTGTATTTGGTGTGTGTGAAAAAAATGTTTCAAAGGTTTTAATTCATTTCACCACACAGTAAAAGAAGGCCAGCTCATCTTCACTTTGGATATACCTGTCATGTTGATCATCTGAAATGGCCATTGAGTGACCCTCTAAGTTTGAAAAAGGCCCATATGAGACTGTTTAAATATATTAAATAAATAATTTGCTTATCCTACCCACTGATACTTGATATTTGTTTCAAGTACCCTGGAGTATAAAATTCATGTTACCTATAACAGTTGGCTCCAGGTCCATGAAGAGTGCTCTGGGCACCTGCTTCCCAGCTCTTGTCTCATAGAAGAACGTATCAAAAGACGCCTTCACATGATCCTGTTTTACATTTCCCAATGGATCCACTCTACTGTCAAGAATGATGCCATCTGGCTGGATTCCATGTTCCAGGCAATAGAGTTCCCAACAAGCATCCCCAATCTGGACACCAGCTTGGCCAATGTGAATGGAAAGGCACTCCCTCTGAAAAAAGCCACAGTATGTCAGAGCTGAGGAGCCTTCTTAGACAACATGAGCTCAGCACTCTGGACAGAAACCAAGCCAGCACAAGCCAACAAGAGAAACTGATTATAAGGATAATTAAAATTGTCTCATAGAAACCAAAAACCAGTATATAGTTAAACTTCAGGGATAATTGAACCAAGGACTCCAATTCCATTAAAGGGTTTCTTGCAGCAGTGTATGTTAAATACCTCTTGTGTGTTAGGCAATTTGAGATATCTATATATACATATATTCTTATACAATCTGCATTTGTACATACTATATAGTTACATATATTGTATATGTATATAAAATTGGTTTACTCACCCAGAAAAAAAAAAAACTAGCTAGTTGTTCGAAAGGAATAAAAGCAAAATCAATGTATAACCTTGTCATGTATTAAAATCCATTGCAAATAAGTTAAAGAAGTTGCCTTATATATTGAAATTTTACATTCACTATTCATGTAGGCTGTAATTAAGGAAGGCCATACTAAGCTTAAAAGTAATGGAAAATTTGCCAAGAAAACATGAAACAGATTTAACAAGTCCAGAATGTAAAACTTCTATATCATAACTAATAGAAATATTGAATATGTATCTACTAAAAAATACCTGAGTCATCCACAAGATACATATGTAAATGATATAAGCAAATTACAAAAGAATGAAATAATCCAAAGGCAAAAATTTAGACACGATGGTGTTCACAGCATTATTATTCATAGGAATGAAGAGCCACGAACTAGTATAGTAAACAATTCACCCATTGTTGGACATTCAATGCAACCATTCAATATTTACAAAAAAAAATTATGGCATGGGAGATGTTTATGATAAAATACTAAGTAAAAAGTATGTAAGTTGTATAATTATATTAAAGTATGATGTAAATATATTTTTAAATAAGCATAAAAATCTTTTAAAAATGCATCAAAACATTAACTAGCTTTATCAGGGTAGTGATTTTTTTTATTTAAGCTTTACTGTTTTCCTTCATTCTCATCAATCTCTACTCTCCTACCCTACTTTAAATCACCACTCACTTTTTTAAGGCAAATATTTTTTTTTTATTTAAACAGACACAGAGACCCAGTTATCTAAATAAGGGACAGAAGTTAAACCTTAAAAATCTAAAGAAACAACAATCACTGATTGTACTATTGTGTAGTCATGGAACAGGTCTTACAGGAAGAGGAGCCTGTTTTCTGCAACACCAGAGCCCTTCAAATTGTTGGTGTGATAAGCTGTGAGGTAGCCCTGCCAGCCCCAAGGCTGCACTTTTCCAAGTGCAAGAAGGCTAGGGAAACCTTATCAATAATTGGCCTGGAGTCCATACAGACAACTCCTGGGAGGAACAGAGAGAGAAAGAGAAAGAATGAACTAGTCACACCCCTGCAATCTGACTTGGACTATGCTCCTGCTCAGAGTGCATCACAAACACTTGCACTTTGGCTCCCACATTCAGAAGACATAACAGAGACCTCTTTGCTTTCTGGGCAATCAAGTTCACTGCTTGAATACAACTTCCCTCCTGTTTCTTCTCCATGCAGCTCTCAGTCCCTCGTGTCAAAAATTAAAAAATCAATTTAGAAAGCACTTCACTTAGTACCAGCAAATAGTCTAACCTCTATCTAGCACATTAAAATAACAAAACACATTCCATCATAAACAGCTTCAATCCTCTCCCCTCCTATTAGGTTTAATATGATCTCAGTACATTAGCTACTAAAATCAGATCAAAACTTGATTCCTAGGGCCTTCCCTGGTGGTGCAGGTGGTTGAGCGCGGCGCAGCCTCTACAGCGCCTCACAGCCTCTGCAGTGAGGGTCCCACCTGGCGCTGCAGACCTCTCCTCTCACACCTGCTGCTCCCCTCAGCAGTGTATTTCATCAGTCTGCCTGTTCCCTGCTCTGTCTCGGGTGAATCCTCCCACCCTCCTGCACATCTGGCCTGTACCCCAGTTCTTGTATAAAAATAAATAAATCTTTAAAAAAACACTTGGTTCCTAGATTTAGGGGGAAATGCAAAAGATGGGGAGAAGGCAATTCCTAATTTCTACATCATTAAAATCACTTATTGTAGATTTCTCTTATAACACCCCTCCTGCGCTGTCTACCACTCAGCGCATGCACAATGCACAGACAGTATTCGTTCACAATATTCCCAGTGAAAATAATAACTAATAAACATAAAAACATCACTATTCTTCATGTGGCCGGTTACCCAAGCAGTTCAGACATTGGAATGAAACTGTTTTGAACTACACATGAATACTTAGTGGGAGAAGTAACAGAACTGTGCCCTACGGTATAGAAGGCCATCACCACTGCATTCTTCTCACAGCCTTCCCCTCCTTTCCAAACTGTCTATTAAAATACTAGTCACACTGTGAAATATAAGATTGAGAGATGCCCACTGGATGTCAACCTTGATGAATCACAGCACGTTAACATATACTGCTACAAAACTTATTTGAATTACTAGGAAGGCGCAATTTTCTGCTTAGCTTTTTATTTTGAAATAAATAGGAATTGTGGATTGACATAGAATTTTAAGAAATAATACAGAAAGATTTCATGTACCCCTTGTCTATCTACCCCCATGCAAATATATTGCAAGACTACAGGACAGTACCACACCCAAAACTGATATTTCTATTACATACAGAGGACATTTCTGATACCATAAGAATCCCTCATACAGTAAGGCAAAAATTTTAAGTTAAACCATTTAAACAATTTAAAATGTTGGTGAGAAAACCCACTGGCATGAGATGAACAAAGACAGAAAGCAGTTTTAAAGGTTGCTTCCACTTCAGAGTTAAAGACTCTAAGACACTAAAAGTTACTGTGACTGGCACATAGGAGATTAAAGAGACAGTGGATCTGAAAAGGTGGCCCTCAAACAGAATTATTGTAACTGTACTCATTCTCATCCCCAATGAATTGAACTGAAGAGAGGACATGGACAACATCAGTGTTCTTTACCATGTCAGCATTTAAAAGCTTAGCAATGTTAATTAACCTGACTTGAAGTCCCCAGAAACTCTAAAGACATAATAAAAAGTGAAGCAATTGGTTTCTATGAAAAAACCAACACAGTGGGTCTAAAACAAACGTGAAAACTAAAGCAAGGATAGTTTCTCATGACAACATTTCAGTTAAAGACAGTGACTAACTGTAAATCAACTAAGCTTTTCCTAAAACCAATAAAACTACAGATGAATACATGAGTTCTTCAAATCTGCTTCAAACATGAAAATTAAAAGAAACAAATGTCTCTTTAAAAATGCCTTTTCTTAAATTAAGAGTTGATTAAGTACTGTTTGGTGGAGGGAAAAGTATCTAATAGGATGAATAAAATTTTCCATACCAACAAAGCAACACTGTCAAAAAGGCAGAAGTACCTTAGCCACTCACCATGCTGATCTGGGTGCCCCCACCGCCCTGAGGTAATGACTGAGCACACAGCCCAGGTTGGCCTTATCACGGGCAGGAAATGACTCCACCTGATGGCTGGCAGCTTGACTCACTTAAAGCAGCACAGCCCCTTTCCAGTTCTTCAATTCTCCAGTCTCCAGATCTGTGTGGAGACTGAATACCGTGAAATAAAGGGGTGCACAACCACAAATGAGTAAATTAGAGTTTATCCAAACCAGCTTCCAACTTATACCTATGTTGAAACTAACAAATGTGTATTTTTTTAAATATATCTCTAATTTTAAGAATTTAAGCACTGGTGGGGAAAGAATATGTGTAAAACTTGCTTTTTCCTTTTTTTTTTTTTAAAGATGTATTTATTTATACAAGAACTGGGGTTCAGGCCAGAGGTGCAGGGGGTGAGAGGATTCACCAGAGACAGAGCAGGGAACAGAACAGGCAGACAGACTGAAGACACTGCTGAGGGGAGCAGCGGGCAAGACAGGAGAGGTCTGCCATGCCATGTGTGTATCTCACCAGCTGGCCAGGAGTCAAACTTGCGCTACAGAGGCTGCAGACAGCTTCACAGCACTGTATTCAGCCTGCTGTGTCACCAGGGAGGCCCAGTGTCAAAGATTTTAAATAGCATTGGTGTGCACAGGGAGAGAAGAAAGGATTTCAGACAAAAATTTCCCATTAAAACTCCCCCAATTACCCATCCCCTTGTGGGCAAATACCCAGCCAAATAGACTCAATTTAAAGTGGGGCTGCTGAGGCCTGAAAGCTTGCCACAAGTCTAAGTTACCTTCTGGTGGGGAAACAGTAAAATGGGTCTAGGCCCATCCTAAAACAGAAGGAGAGGCCCAAAATTCAAAATATACCATGGGGTACATTTACCACATGTAATCCACCATGGGGTCCAGATAACAACTGGCAATAATAACTGTGTGATCTTACTAGCTGGAAAAAAAAAAAAAAAAGCAGTATAATATGGATCACTTGATAAAAAGTTTTGCTAAACTAGCTTGATTTATTTATATACTGTAAGAGCAAAGATTTTAGAATTATTTATTTATTAATATTAGTATACTGTGCCTTTAATTCAAAATAATCCTTATGCTAAAGTAGTTTATATTAGTGACATATTCTACCTCCATTATTGTATATATATTTTTATTTTTTAGAATATATTTCCAGAAATAAAAACATAGTGTCAAAGCAGAGATTTTTAAAAGCCACTGGCACATAAAAAGCAGTATATAAAATCAAAAACTGTGCTGATTTAGCCATTGTATTTTTTTATTTGAGAAGTTCCTTTAATATTATATTATTATAGCCTTTTGGTGCCTTCTTATTATTAGTGGATGAAAGCATTTTCATTCTATTTTGCTAAAGAGAGAGTATCTCTTCATATTGGGTGTCAGGAAGCTCATAACTAGATACAGTGATGGGAAGAGGGAGTGTCTCCCCAAGGTCCCGGCAATCAGAGTGCTGCCTCCGCCTGATGTTTCACCTGCTGGCAGCAGAGAACCCTTGGTCTAGGTCAAATGTGAGGGATGCCTGGACAAATGGGCACACTATTCCTCAACAGAAACCAGAGCCCTTTAGTACTTTGAGACTAAAATTAGAATGAAGAACTTGAAATACTGGTTAAAGGAAAGATTTACTGAAAGTAACAGAGCTCCAGGGAGACCTGTTTAAACAAAGTAGTTGGGGCCTATAACTTGGGGTCTATATAGTTTGAGAGTTAGGGTTTGAGAACAAAAGAATTAACTCTATTGGCTGAAAAAGCAAGGAGCATGGACTTGGTTAAAGTCCCTTTGTCCATCTGTAATTATTATAATTGTACCAATCAGCTACTGCTTGGTGATTATGCAGGGCTTGTGAACATCTCATGGTGAATATCTCATGGAGGCTGTGTCCCAAAGCTCCAGTTCGAACTGGACTGGTCTCAAGATCTGTAGCTCCCTTCTTCAATGGGTTAATTTGATAAGTTGTAAAAAGAAAATTCAGGAATGAGCAAACTGTGGAGGGGGGGGTTGTTGTTATTAAAAACAAATGACAACAAAAAAAAACATGCAATAGGCAAAGGAAATTTATGGATTTATGGCAGCACATGTCTGAGTCTAGTGTCATCAGATTTGTTTAATTTCTTGTTTACCAGTCTGATAAAAACAATGGGTTCAGCAAATTTCTGTTCTGGAATACTGTCCCTGTCCCAGGACTCTTCCCATGTTATTCCCTCCTGAAAGACATATCACTCCTCATTCTTAAGGTGGAGAATGGGCAGAGGTCTCTTCTCTGAAGCTACTTCCTGCTGGCCAGGGTCATAATACCTCCCTATGTGTTAGAGGAGTGAAATTTTATTTCTGCCTGAGAGAGACATAGGGCTCTAGGTTTTGGACAGTTTGAAACCCCTATAATATCATTTGTACGTGCAATTGTTAAATGTTTGAATAGACCAAGAGTTTGAATAAACAAGGACTCACAGCATTAGGAGAATAAGAATAACCATCAAGACACTTATGAGTGAGGAGACCCAAGATCACCATACTATAAACCTGCCCCATGGATTTGACATCCCTTGAATTCTACATCCTTTTGGAGACAAAGGAGACTATGTAATTCAGGAAACAAAGGTCAAAGATCAAAAGAAGTAGCATATTCTACTAAAGTAGCCGCAGGACCACAGGGTCAGGATTCAGTTTTGTTCAAGGTGCCCCACCTCTGGGTAGTTGTTTCTTTCTCTCTGTTTTCAGCTTTCAGCTAGCCCTGGAGCTCAGCTCAAGGTTGTTGCATTACTCACCTGCTAAAACAAATCTTAGAGAGAAAGTTAGAGAAGATTTTTTTTTCTCTTTGGGCTCATTAAAGTCTAAGAGCAATTAACAATTTAGCCTCAGCAATTAACAATTTTGCCTCTAGTCTCCTAGAGTCAGCCCTAAGAGCACACTTCCATTACCTTTGGTAACTGGTATTTATCTCACTTGAATAATTTTGTATGTATATGGCCAATAAGTATACCTCATTTTAGTTATCACTTTCAACCTCTTTTCCCCCAAATGCTAAGAATGATCTAATATGCTTCTGTGGAAGGATCAGTACTGTTAAAAAATGTCCACACTACCCAAAGCAATATATAGGTTTGTGCAATCTCTATCAAAATTCCAATGGCATTTTTCACAGAAATAAGAGTAAAGAATCCTAAAATTTGTACAGAACAACAAAAACCCTGAAGAGCCAAAGTACAACCTTGGAGGCATCCCATTCAAACTATATTACAAAGCTATAGTAATCAAGACAGTATGATATTGGCATAAAAAAAGACATGTAACTCAGTGGAAAAGTACAGAATCCAGAAATAAACCCACACATATTTAGTCAATTAATTTGTGACAAAGGAGCCCAAGATATGCATTGGGGAAAGTATAGTCTTTTCAATAAATGGTATTGAAAAAACTGGACAGTCACATGCAAAAGAACCAAACAGTACACCACACAAAAAAAGATTAACGCAAAATGGATTAAAGATGTGAACATAGACCTGAAATCATAAAAATCCTAAATGAAAACATAGACAGTAAACTCATTGACACTGACCTTGGTAATGATTTTTTGGATGACTCCAAAAGCAAAAATAAACAAGTGGTACTACATTAAACTAAAAGCTTCTACACAGCAAAGGAAATCATCAACAAAATGAAAAGATAGCCAAGTGAATGGAAGAAAATATTTGGAAATCATATATCTGATATAAGAAACTCATTTTATTCAGTAGCAAAGAAAAAATGAGAATATAGGCAGAAGATTTTTACACTTTTCTGAGAAAGACATACAGATGAACCAAAGTACATGAAGAGGTGTTTGACATCATTAATCATCAGGGAAATACAAAATCAAAACCATGAAATATCACCTTGCACCTGTTAGGATAGCTATTATCAAGAAGACAGGAGATAACAAATGTTGCCGTAGATAAGGAGAAAAGGGAACTCTTGAATTTTGTTGACAGTGGAAATGTAAATTGGTGCATTCACTATGGAAAACAATAGAGGTTCTCAAAAAATTAAAAATAGAATTACCATATGATCCAGCATTCCCACCCTGAGTATCTATCTGAAGAAAATGGAAACACTAACTCAAAACGATATCTGCACCCCCAAGTTCATTGTACCATTGTTTACAATAGCCAAGACATGGAAACCATATAAATGCCCTCAATGGATGAATAGATAAAGAAAACATAGTATTTATATACAAAGGAGTATTATTCAACAACAAAAAAAAGAAATCTTGCCATTTCCACCAACATGGATAGATCCTGAAGGCATTATGCTAAGTAAGATAAGTCAGAGAAAGACAAATACCACGTTATCTTACTTATGTGAGGAGTCTAAAAATAAGAAAACAAAAACCAGGCTCATAGATACAGAGAGCAGATTGGTGGTTGCCAGACGCAGGGGTGGTAGGTGGGGAAAAATGAGTGAAAGTGGTAAAAAGGTACAAACTTCCAGTTATAAAATAGTCACAGGGATGTAACATAATGCAAGAGCCTAGTTAGTAACTCTATCGCAAATCAATCTTAAAAGCTTTCATGGAGGAAGCAAGAGAAGGAGAAAGAAGGAGAAAAAAAAAGTTTTTATGACAGGAAAAACAACTATAAATACTTAGGTGAAGGATCTTAAACTTATTGTGGTGATTTTGCAATATATACGAAAGTCAAATGTAAAACTAATATAATGTTATATATCAACTCTACTTCAATGAACAAGTAAAATGTTTTCAGTCTGCCTTGGCTTGTGAAGACAGTCCTGATAAACAGTAAAACAGGTACTGGGATTTGGGGATTTAGAATGGTGACAATCCAGTAAGAATGGCACATATCAAAAAAACTAGCAACAAATGTTGGCGATGATGTGGTGTAAAGGAACTCTCCTGCACTGCTGGTGGGAGTGCAAACTGGTCCAACCTCTATGGAAAGCTGTATGGAGGCTCCTCAGTTTACTAAAAATGGAG